AAAGAGTCCAGTGGTTTTCCTTACCTTGCTAAAATGTAGTTCCAGAAAAAATTCACCAGGAAGCACCTGGGTTCACAGCGTCCATCTTCACTATTACAAAGCAGGGCAAAGAAGGGTGAATTTGGAACTGACAGCCAGCAAGTTGGTAACTGAACACCTAAAGAAACATATATCCACACTTTCTTGTCTAAGAAATTAGAACCTGGGGTCTATCCATAAGCAAAACTCAAACAGTACAAACAGCACAAGACTGTATGAATATTTTATTAAAGATCAGCAGAAGTTGAGTTGAAAAGCCAAGATTCAAGGTAAATTTTTTTTTAAATATGGGAATAACTACTTGTTCCCCCAACTAATAAGGACCTGCCTTCCCCCTAAAGCAGCAGTTCTCAACCTTCCTAATGCTGCGACCCCTTAATACAGTTCCTCATGTTGTGGCGACCCCCAACCATAAAATTATTTTCATTGCTACTCTAGAACTGTAATTTTGCTACTGTTATGAATCGTAATGTAAATATCTTTTTGTTTTCCGATGGTCTTAGGCGACCCCTGTGAAAGGGTCGTACGACCCCCAAAGGGGTCGCAACCCACAGGTTGAGAATCGGTGCCCTAAAGCATGCCTTCTCTGTTCCCCTGCATGCAAGCCCTCCTTTTATTCCCTCTCCTTTTTTTCTTTCTTTTTTTTTCTTTGATATTCTTAAGTGTCTCCTGGCTTTCGCATTTTTCACTAAACATGGAAATCTGACATCTCCATTCTTTGGCCTCTAGTGCTCTAGTGAATTAGGATTAGCAGTCCTCAGTTTCATTTGGGTGACTATTCCTACCCTCTGCTCTGGAAAGTGTGGGGGTAAAGGTTCAATATATTCTTCCACAGATGAAGGTTATTTGTTGGGATCACTTTAACTGGTCCTCCCCATTGTCTTTCCAAGCTTTGTAAATGGCAAACCTGAACATTTCTGAGGTTATTCCAGAAAGCTTGTCAAGGACAACCAGGGTACCCACAGCACAATCTTACCTTCCTCTGGAACTGCCAGGGCCCTGTGTGAAGCTGAGTGAGGCGAGAAAGGATTTGGAGTTTGGTGGTTATAGCTGATGGTTCAAAATAGACTATTTTTTCGTAATGTTCTATGATCAACAAAAAAGTCACATATCAAGATTGGACTATATGATAAGGACTCTTTTTCATGTATCACTGTCCTCAGAAAAAATAAAAATAAAATAAAATAGAATAAAATGTAGTTCCATTCTTCAGGGGGTATAAATGGAGATCATTTTCAAAGATTCTTTATTACCCTCAAGAGATGTGAGTTTTGAGACTGGTGGATAGTTCTGTCAATACAAATAACTCCCAAATAATATATACAATACTGGAAATGTGTTTCTCATGATTTTCTTAAAAATATTTTCTCTAGCTTATTGTAAGGATATAGTAGGAAATACATATAACATACAAAATATGTGTTAATCAATGTTTATGTTATGGGAAGACTTCTGGCCAATAGTCAGCTATTTGTAGTTAAGTTTTGGGGGAATCAAAAGTTATAGGTGCATTTTAAACTGTGCAGGCTGTTGTCGCCCCCTAACCCTCATGTTCAAGAGTTATCTGTATACTCATTTGAGACTCATGGAACCACAGATTTAGTTTTTCATTGTATTTCACAGGTTGAGAAGGATTACAGAGGTTTTTGTTTTTGTTTGTTTGGGTTTTTTTAGTGGAAATGAAGTAAATTCAGAAGAGATTTATAGATTTTGATGAGTATAAATCATGTTTTACATTCTGGAAGCAGTGTCTTTGGAATGTAAACCTTAAGGTATATCTGAATTTCTCAAGCTTGCCCTGCTAATCAGTGTGGCTTAGTTTGAAGACACTCTAAATTAAAATTGATTGATAGCTATTGTTAAGGTATTTTATTGGAAAATTTGGAGCTAAATATACATATATATATATATATATATATATATATATATATATATCACAAAATCTGAAGTCTCTGGCCATAGGATTAAACTTTGGGCCATTTTTGGGTTTATTTGAAAGTATATTTTCTTTCTTGTGAAATTATTAACAGTGCACTTGGGAGTCACTCACTATCCTTGCTGCATTTGCTGCAAACGTGGAATTGGAAGTTGATGTGCTCTGACTGAAACAGTTCAGTCTATTAAATTCCAGAGTTCTCTTTGATTTGATTCACAATGATGAGTGAACACCACCAGACCTAAAATTGTTGATCTTTGCATAAATACAGTGCTTTTTGTATTTTCTATTACTGCTGAATATCCATAATTTTGAATAGTTGAAAGGTGCTGCTTTTCTAGTGTTATGGATTAAAACTAATGTGGTCTGCAAAATCTAAAACTCTAATTGTATGGGCTTACTATTAAAACAAAAGTAGACACCTGAAAACTTGTTCATCTTCAAAAAATGACTCCTAGTGGTGATGGTTGCCCAGCAATGTGAATGTACTTAATACCACTGAACTATAAACTTAAGAATGGTTAAAATAGTAAATGTTATGTTATGTATATTTTACCACAGTAAAACAAATGACCTTCTCTACTTGAATGTACACAATAAGTAGACCCTGAAAACAATTTTGGAATCTCTCGTGCTTACTTAAGAGAACAAAAAGTACATTCAGGTTGGTATGATGGTAGCTTAGAAATATATTGTATGAACGTATAGTAACATGGAGATATTCTGTAATAAAAATAAGAGAAATTATGAAATAGGGGACAGAGTTTCAGGAAAGTAAAGGACTAAAACAAGGGGAAAAAATATGAGGTTAATGAGGATTGGAGGGCAATGAATGTAGAACTGAAAGATGTGTCCATGGTCATATGCCAAGCATATCCCTATGAGAGTGAGGAAGTCATCACAATGGTTTCCAAATGAAGCAGTAAATAAAATTTGCGAATGACGATTATATGGGCAGAAGGGGTCAAGTGATAAAGTAGTCGTGAGATGATCTATTATTACAAAATTGATGAAATATTGCAGTGAAATTGAAAATAAATCCTTTGCCAATTATCAGGGGGATGGGGACCAAAAATTATGAAGTTTATCTGCTATCTAGTGAGATAAGTAATGTTATATTCTTATTTAGTTATATTCTGCAATACCTACTTATAACACTTCTATTCCTGTTAACCATTTTGTCACCTGGAAGCAATTCCTATTCTAAAAATACCTGTTTTTTTTATCACAGTATTATATCAATTTATGTAAAGTGAAAAATATTGAAACTGTAGTATGCATCATTAATGGAAATATTCACATATATTAAAGTGACAAAAAGTCAATCAGACCTTATGGCAAACTACTTAACACAACCGATACTATATATAAACAGCAGCACAGTGGGAGGGAGGGAGCGGGTAAGGGAGGGGATGGGCCATTTCTATATGCATTACCTACAATTTTAGTACACAGAATCTGACCATATACCATGGGTCTCCATGGGTAAAAATGAAAACAATAATAGCTAATATTTATTGAATGCTTAAGGTATGCTGAGTATTGTTCTATGCATAAATATATTACCTGTTTTATTTAAACTTTATATTTCTACAGGGAGGTAAATGCTCCTATTATTATCCCCATTTTTCAGAAGAGAAAAGTGAGGTTAAGTAACTTCAGGCTTAGTGAAACAACTTAATTAGTGGCCAAAACAGGATAAGGAGACTCAGGGTTGGGCCTATCCATTTACTATCTATCTCTCCCATACGGCCCCTTCAGTCTTCATGTTGCTGTTTTTCATTTTTTTTATACCCTTCAGGATTTCCCCTGGTACTCATTTTTGCCACATTTTAAAGGCATAGTATTTGTTTTTCTTGTCTGACAGAACGGGACCTGGTAAGTACACAATGTGATTTGCCTCAGCGCTCAGACCCAGAAAGGGGTGGCACTGCCTGTTGCCCTTCAGAGAGCAAGCACCTCTTGGTGCAACCTCTTCGAATCTGACTCCTGGTAGCATTGGTAGAGATATGAAAATGGAGATTAAAGTACTTCCTGTGCCACACTAGCATTTTCTGATTTATTTCCTATAATAGTCCTATGAAGTGGAGGAACTATAGTCATCTCCATTTTATAAATGAAAAAACTGATGTCCAGAAAATTCGAGAGACTTTCTTGAGGTCATGTAGCTGGTGAGCTTCTCTGGCTCCAAAGTCCCTGCTCTTTCTACTGTACCATGCTGCCTCCTTAACAAGTTAAATTAGGCTACTAGGCTTGCTAGGAGGCTCCCAAAATTGTTTGATTTGATGGCATAGAACAGCACTGGCTGCATTGTAAATGTGGCCAAGCTGGAAAACAAAGCCTCTCCTATGATCTGCTTGAACTGACCTCCCTCAACAGGTGAACTCTAAAAGTTTGGAGGTCACACCATAGCAAATGTTGCTCCAGCCTTCTACAGAATTACACACCCTGAGTATGATTCCATCTTTCAAATGCACATCTCAGCTTTCTGGTTGAGGGGCTGTCAAGGACTTAGTTCTGACAACAAATACCAGCATCCAGACAGTGAGCCATCCATGATCACTGCCCACCATGCCCCAGTATATAGGGCAGGGTCTTTTGTTATATGCTCTCATGGAAGTTCCACTGCAGAGCAATTAATATGTAATTATATATTGTAATTATATACTCACTGATGTTACCATTTACTTAATGTCTACCATTACCTTGTAAGCTCCATGAAGGCAGGGTGAGTACCTGTTTTTTGTTTCCCAAATACCTAGAAGAGTGCTAAATAAGCAATTGTTGTTGAATTAATGAGTGCTTTCCCATCAAAGAATCAGATGATCAGTATTTTTCCTTATCTTCCCATAAAAAAAATATGCAAAGACTATATATGTCTTGGATAAACGGGCCTGTTTTTGAGGGCTGTCTAACCATTTGTTTGTTAGAGGGCTAAGTAGTAGGAAAATGCTGACACTTGCCCCACTACTCTTGACTCTGGAAGTCTTAAGCTTCATGGAAAGCAGAGAAGGGCTCAGCTTACCTCTTTCTGGTGATATTTGATTGCCACCTTCAGCTTGGCCAGGTCATGGTACTTCTGAGGATCAAGCTCTTCACTATGGTCATCTCGATGGTTGAGGATGATCTCCAATTCCCGGGAACTCCGAGCTTGGTCCAGTAGGTCTTTGGCAAAGAGCTTGCACTGTTGGGAGAGCTCCTCATATTCAGCCTTGAACTCATTCTCCACCTTGCTGAGCTCCTTGAGCTCCCAGCCCAGGCGGAAAGCAGTTAGGATGGGGTCCTCGCTTGATAAGGCAATAAGTGAGGGGCTTGCCAAAGCTTTATAGATGTTCAGCCGGGAGCGGGAGTGGCGCAGGCTGTCCACCTCTGAACTGGACACACACTCTACACAGTTGCAGCGGATCTGGTGGGGCCGTGGGATAGTGACTCGTTTTTGGACAAGCAATTTGATGATTTCATAGTTGTTGGTGTGGGCAGCCAGCATGATGGGAGTGATGTCCGGTGTGAACTCGGAGAACTGGGTGTCCATCATCAGATTGGGGACCTAGGTACAATAAAACAACAACAAAGAAAACATAAAAGGGCAGCATTAAAGCTTGGAAAAAGAGAGAGCACAGGGCCTATCAAATGTTAGTGATTCAGGAATCTGAGTCACCATTCTTTTGTCTATTCTCCTTATCATAATGGCTAGTTGTGGAATGCTTACTGTATGCCAAGCACTGTTCTAAGCACTTTACATCAATTTACTCATTTAATGTCCACAACAACCTTGTGAGGTAAATAGTCTCCGCAAATGAAGAAGCTGAGGCACACAGAGTTTAGAGAACATACCTCAGTTTACACAGCTTTTAGTAGCAGAGCCAGGATTCAAACCCAGACAACATGACTCTAGAGCTTGGCTATTAAAATTATGCAAGCATGACATGCCCAATTCTGTCTGCGGCACGATGTGAGATACAGAGACATAAAGGACATATTTCCTGACTTTTTGGAGCTTAGTTGGATAGGTTGGAATTATACAAAATTGGTAAGTAGGAGTACCTCGTAGTATGTGTTCAGTTCCAAATGAGCAGCAAAGATTGCCGGAATATTTGTTTGAAAGACTAAAGACAACGAGTTATCTTAAAGACCATGCCACTAAATCAAGTGCTGGAGGCTGAAGAGAAGACATCCTCAAATGGTTACACTGATTTTGCATGTATATAGGATTTTAGGGGACCAAAGATCAAGGCCAGACAGTGTTCCCTCCAACTTTCTGTAGGTCCCAACAAGGTAGAGAGACTCTGTTATTGTTGGGAAGAAGTACTCTGTAAATGAGGACCTCTAGGCTTGAGGGAGGCGATACCAGTAACAAAAGGACCTGTGATAAAATTGCTATGTCCATGATATGCTGCTTGGTGTAAACAGTAGGTATAAGTGAAAGGTATAGGTTTCTTTGGGTATTCAGCAGTATCTCTGGGTGAGTGTGCAGAAACTGATTAATGATGAAAATATCATTCAACTTTTTAGTTTTTTATTAAATGTATTGTGATGATATTGGTTAGTAAAATTATATAGGTTTTGAGTATACCTTTCTATAATACATCATCTATCTATTACATTGTGTGTCTCCAGTCAGTTCTCCTTCCATCACCATATATTTGAACCCCTTTTCTCTTTCCAACAACCCCCCTTACCCTCTGGTAATCACTAAACTGTTGTCTGTGTCTATGAATTTTTGTTTTTTTGTCTTGTTCTTTGTTGCTTTCAGTTTTATATACCACATATGAGTGAAGTCATATGGTTCTCAACTTTTTCTGTCTGACTTATTTTGCTTAGCATGATAATCTCAAGATCCATCCATGTTGTTGCAAATGGCAGTATTTCATCTTTTCTTATGGCCAAGTAATATTCCACTGTATATATGCACTACATGCTACTAATCCAATCATCTAGCAAAGGACACTTTGGTTATTTCCATGTCTTGTCCACAGAGAATAATGCTGCAGTGGACATAGCAGTATGCATATCTTTACAGATAAATGTTTTCAGATATTTTGTATAGATACTCAAAAGAGGGATTGCTGGGTCACATAATAATTGTATTCTGAATTTTTTGATGCACCTCCATACTGTTTTCTATAGTGGCTGTGGCAATTTACATTCCCACCAGCAGTGTATGAGGGTTCCTTTTTCTCCACAACCCCTCCCACACTTGTTATTACTTGTTTTGTTGATAATAGCCATTCTAAAATGTGAGGTGGTATCTCATTGTGGTTTTGACTTGCATTTCCCTAATAGCTAGTGAAGTTGAGCATTTTTTCATATATCTGTTGGCCATTTGTCTTCTTTGGAGAAGTGGGAGTGATGTCAGAAACATGGCAGCATGAGGGGTTCTCCTTGATCTCTCCCCTTGAAGTTGTTACAGCAAGCTGAACAGCTCTAATTCCACAAAGGATTCCCTATGGAGCACAGAAACATGACTGAGAGATCTGCACATTGAAGCATCTGAAGGTGGGCAAATCAGTGTGAACAGCGGAGGAGGGAAGGGAGAACTGCAGAGACGTGGAGACTGTGGGACAAAACCCAGAGCTTACTGCGGCCTCAGGAGAGGGGAGGATTGAGACTGCAGGTGCATTCTGTGGCCCTAGCAATCCTGACTGGGTGATTAGCATATAATACCGCTGAACCCAGCGATAGGGGCAGAGACCGAATACAGAAGTGCAACAACTATGGTTTAAAAGCCCTCACTGCCAGGAAGAAAACAAAGCAATGGAGCCTGGCTGCCTCCCCCACTCCCGCAGAGTTTGCCTCCACCACACCCTCCCAGTTTTCATCTTTAAATGTGTGTTTTGGGACCCAGTCTGCTCTTAGTCTAATAGATAAACTGAGGCAGCTCACTAGACCCACAGAAGAGTCTCAGTGTGGTAGGGTCTAGAGCGAGGGAATTAGCAGGACCAGAATAGTCACAAGAGGCTTCATGGAAGGGTGGTGCTGAGTATTCAAAGCATATGTGGTGTGACACTTAAGTTTGCGAACTTATCACCATGCGCTTACATTGACAGCACTGTGCAAACAGCTCGGTAAGGTTTCATAACCGTGGTATATCAGTGTTTCACAGCTGTGTTCATATCGATATGTGGTGGTATCTTGCTGAGTGGCATTCATTATTGTTGTTGCATGTTTTTGTGTGCTGTTGCGAGAATGTCTGAGCCTGAATTAGAGCAATGAACAAACATTAAATTTCTTGTGAAACTTGGCAAGAGTGGAAGTGAAATCAGGGACTTGTTAGTCCAAGTTTTTATGGGGATAATGCCATGAAGACAGTGGCAGTGTACAAATGGATTAAACGTTTTTCTGAGAGGAGACAAAGCATCACTGATGAAGAGAGGTCAGGGCAGCCAGCAGCAAGCAGAACTGATGAAAACATTGCAAAAATTCATTGAATTGTGTGTCAAAATCGTTGGCTGACTGAGAAGCATAGCAGATGAAGTAAACATCAATAGAGAAACAGGAAAATCTTAACTGAAAATCTTGGCATGAGAAAGTTGTGTGCAAAAATGGTCCCAAAGGAGCTCTTGCATCATGACACTGCACCAGCTCACACGGCACTGTCTGTGAGGGAGTTTTTAGCCAGTAAACAAATAACTGTATTAGAACACCCTCCCTAATCACCTGATCTGGCCCCCAGTGATTTCTTTCTTTACCCGAAGATAAAGGAAATATTGAAAGGAAGATATTTTGATGACATTCAGGACATAAAGGGTAATATGACAACAGCTCTGATGGCCATTCCAGAAAAATAGTTCCAAAATTGCTTTGAAGGGTGGACTCAGTGCTGGTGTCAGTGCATAGCTTCCCAATGGGAGTACTTCGAATGTGACCATAGTGATATTCAGCAATGAGATATGTAGCACTTTTTCTAGGATGAGTTTGCAAACTTAATTGTCTGACCTCATATATAGGATTCCAAGAAGTTAGGAAATATTGATCATAATACACTTTTAAAAAGAGTTCCAAACACTTACTTTAACTTTGGAGAATATGGATAATTCAGATTTTCACATAATAGACAAATATTGTTTTAATCAAGTTTCTTTTTACTCTTAAATTTTTTTTTAGAAACCCACAATTGCTGGAGAACTGACAAAAGGATGATTTAGTTTTCCATCATCTTTGCCTCCTTCCCACGATGGATGAAAGATTCACAAACAGGGAAGTGGCCAGGAAATGGGGTGGGGAAAAAAGGAGGAGAAAGAGGGAGAGGAGCCTGCCAGGAATCTGTTTCCTTCAGGGAATAGTTGCGGCAGCCTCTGAATAGTTGAGAGCTGGCTGCATATTGGCCATCACATTGCTTGGATGGAGCAGCAAGTAAACATTGTTAAACATTTAGAGGGTGCAGCTATAAACAAAACAGCGGGAAGTGAGCAACTGGCTCATAAAGTAAATTGGACACAGGACAGAATAATCTCAGAAATTAACATAAGCCTACAGGCTAAGGAAGAAGTAGGTCTGAGTGGGCCTGGTAATGAACATAAACACCACAACCAGTGTAAATCCTCGAGTTGGGAGAGATGGTAAGTGAGCAATGTGTCACAGTTGTCCCGGGAAGAAAAGAGCTCAGATCTGGGACTCTACCCCTTCTCAGTGGGCAGGGGTATTCCTCAATCTCTGTCATGATCTAGAGGCAGGAGGTGGAGAGGTAGAGGGAAAATAGACAGTAGCACAGGATTCCCTGGGGCAGATTGGAGGTATGGGTATGCTCCCTACTATGGTGCTCTTCTTGTCCTTTCTCTCCACTTTCTCACTCTTTCTATTTTCCCTACTCTTGTATTTTCTTCCTTCTTTCCTTGTATATCAATGCGGCCAGGCCTGTCTAAGACACACAGTGGTACTTGTGAATATTGCTTACCCCACTTATGTCATGGAGCTGAAAGGTTTCTGTTTATGCCTAGAATATGAAATGCTTTCTGGAGCCATCTGATTCTGCTGTCTTTGACTTAGTGCTCAACAAGGAGCTGTCTTAGTCTGCTCTTGTTTTCCTCACATCATCTAGCAGCACAGTACTAGACACACAGAAGGCACTCAGCAAAAAGGAATTAAGTTTTCTAATCTCAAATTCAGAAATTAATTCTCATTTACAACCCTGATTCCCACAATTTCAATCAATGTGAACTAGTTTCTTTGGGTCTTTCCTTCCCACATCTAGCTGAGAAGGTACATGTTCCAAGACTCTAAGTAGAGTGTTAACAGATGGGCTCCATAGGGAATACCCTGAAGTCACAAAACCTAGGACAGTCCCTGTCATTTTCACAATTCTGTTGCTTCAAAATGGAGACTATTACCTAAAGACTATAGATTTCTACTCCTCTTGTACTCTCTGTTGATGCCTCTCTTCATCCTGCTGCTTTTCCCTTTCTAGACTTTGTAGGGACCATGAACTGTCATCAGGACAGCCATGGTAAAGCAAGAGAGGTTTTATAATGAGGGTCAGAGGTTTGTGATAATAATCAGGACTTTATGATATGGTCAATAACAGGAACCAAACATATAATAGGTAACAAA